TTTTAGCCCCCCCCCCCGCCCCGCCCCCCCCCTCTCTAGCTTTCTGTGTGTCCGTCCGTCCGTCCGTCTGTCTGTCTGTCTGTCTCTCCTTTTCTGCCTGTCTGTCTGTCTCCCTCTCGCTGGGTCTGTCTGTCTGTCTGTCTGTCTCTCCTTTTCTGCCTGTCTGTCTGTCTCCCTCTCGCCGTGTCTGCCTGTCTGTCTGTCTGTATGTCTCTGTCGGAATGAAGACAACGAACACGAGTGAGCATGACGAAGAGTAGCCCTGTTGTTGTCTCTCTCCATGCCATTCTCTCCCCTACCCCCCTCGCACCCTCTCACCTGGTAACCCTCCTTGGGAGCGCAAGTGATCGGGCACGCCGAAGAGTACTCGAAGCTCTGACCGGGTTCGAGGACGGGCTGCTGCCCCACCACCCCTGGGCCCTTGACCAGCTGTGGTGCCTGGAGGCAGCAAAAATGAAGAAAAAAAAAAGAAAAAGAAAAAGAACCGGGGTCAAGTCCACCATGAGAAACGGGGGGGAAGAACGTTCTTTTTTTTTCTTTCGTGTCAATATTGTACGCAGGTGTTGAGTTTGACGCGGCTTGCCTTCCAGCATTTAGCGTGAGAAGGGTTCGGCAGTCCCCGTGTAGTGTTCCACAACTCGCCGCATCTGTGTGGTGTAGCCTCAACGAAAGATCTATCTTTCGAGCAGGAGACGCGAAATTATTGCCCGAGGACTACACTATTCAGAGAGACTGACTTGTCGGGACGCTGTTGTAAATGGGGTTAAGGGATCGCGCTTCGCACAGGTACCGGTATGTCACAAGCAGGCGTAGCTGGACACTAGCATACCCCCCCCCACCGCGTGCACAAACCGTCCTCAATTCTTCTTCTTACTCCTCGACCCCGTCTTTATATGCCCCGCCCGTAACATTTTGTTGTATTGCTTCACTTCAGTAACTTCAAATCAGCGCTCACAGCATTAATTGTGCCGTTTACTCCAACCCGTGGACACACAAAAGGGTTCTTCCCTGAGCCCCCAACGACTACGGCATGCCCGACTATGAGTACCCCCCCCCCCCCCCTACCGAATAGAGTGGAATACCGCAGCGGCATCGTACCTCGGTAGCCTCGATGGCCTTGATCTCCCACGTTCTCGACACGAGCTGGACCGTCTGCGACGACTGGTTGGTGATCTTAACCTTGTACACGAAGATGTACTGGTCCTTGAGGGGATTGCTCTGCTCCGGGTAGTACTGGCTGCGTACCTCCACCCTGCCGAGCGACAACGCCAAAGAGGCAGGGCGGCGGGGGGCACGCGGGCGGGAGCCAAACATGACGTCGTGTTCCAAGGGGTACATGGAGATGGGTTTGGCAAAAGAGAGGAGTCATTTTTCCGTAAACAACACAAGAATCAAAACAGGCATGGACGGGATCAGACAAAAACAACACGCAGTTCTATTCTGCGCCATTCCCGTTGACAAATATTTTCTAATACATATTCGACCGAAAAACTCTTCCCTTCGTACTTGAGACACGAGAGCAGCTCCCGAAGCCTTGGGACAGCGTCACAAAAACGCGCGCGATGCCATGCCCCAAACCAGTAGATCGCAACACAACAAATCTCTCCGCACATGCACACATCAGATATGCACACCCAAAAATTGGAATCAGGTAGAACCACCGAAACCCCCCCCCCCCCCCCCTTCGCCCAGAAAAAACATCCAATTCAAAGTATTTAGGGTAGGGTTTCTAGGATAAGCAGTGTCTCACACCTGATGCCGTTCGTGGTCGTCACGCTCTTGGAGCTGTACCCATCAGTCTCCGTGGAGCCGTCTGACCGCCTGCCAGACCTCGAGCTCTTCTCGCTCCCCCGAGACATGCCAGGCATCCGCTTCATCGTCTGTGACAGCAGCAAGCAAAACCAGGTCCGTTTGCGCATGCATGGGACCCAATCGAGCACGAGGTCGCAACGAATCCGGAGGGGGACAAAACGAAAGCGCGCAGTGAAAACACACTCGTTAGTTCTTGTATGCGGAAGAGTCAACCGAGCACGAGACCACGATGATCTAGAGGGGAAAAGCGCACGTAGCAAGGGAAAAACACACCAACGTTCATAATTGTCGCTGTCGTCAGTTACGTTGGGTGTTGGAGCACAAGCAGCGAAACGCCTCCTCTCTCCCTATCACCTGGCCCACAAACCCTCGGGACGAGAAAACCAGACCAAGGGCCAAGTCCCAACCTGCTGCTCAGACAAACACAAGTCTGCGACAAAAGCCATGTGCCACCCATCGGACGGGAGTCAATCGGCTTCCCTCTCCCCCCTGTACCTCCACGCTCTCGCTGGACAAAAGCCATCTGCACTACTACTTTAGACCCCTCACGAGCCCGTACGAATTCCTTACATAACAATTCCACCACAGCAGTACAACGTTCTGGTTCATGCCCGTATCTGCCCCGGAAATGGACCGGCACAATACCTGACACCGGCACCACTCATAAGTACAGAATTTATTGGTGATTTCAGTCCGCGCCAGCCGAACAAACAAGCAACTACGCCGGACATCGGCACTACACAACCGGCACCAAAGAGGGACCCCATGACACCTCTACTGCTGTTGCACCAAAACCTAAAATGTCTCCCTCGCCCCCCTTCTTACCTCCTCCGCGACGGCGCTGGGGTCCTTTCCCTCCGCCCTCGCCTGCATCTCCGCGTTGGGGGGTACCCCAATTTTGGTCATCTGCAGCCTCAGGCGCGCGATCTTGACGAACTCCTGCAGCGTTCGGAGGGGGGAGGGGGGGGAGAGACCGAGCGTGAGAAAGGGGGCACAGCAGCGTGTGCCAAGTACCGAGCAAAGTTGGCGTGCCTTCAAGCATCGTAACGAACTGATTGGTGCGGTTTATGCAAGCCTGTCTCCCCTCTTCGTATTCAACGCAAAGATGCTATTATCAAACCATAACCAACCCTAGGGGGAGAGAGAAGACATTGGGGGCCATCAGAACCACGCCACCGCAGGAAAGACGCGGCGACAGCAACAACGATGGTAACCAGAGAGGCCCTTCCCACATGATGCGGTACTTCCTCTGTCCCGTCGTCTACGTTATGTGTGACAAGGGTTCAAGTATGAGCCAACATCTACCATAGTGTTCCCTGACGTCCGCTCGACGAGGGAAGGGAAGCGAATGAAACTGCCCGTGTCTGGTGGAGAGGACGACGTTGCATACCGTATACCATACCATACCATACCGTACCATGTCATACCGTACCTCGTTCTTGATGGCCTCGTCGAGTTCGTCCTGCAGGGCCGTGTACGGGTCCTCGTACCGCATCTCCTTGGCGCGCTGGCGGAACTTCTCGGCCTCCTCCGTCTCCCCCTGCCGCTCAAGCTTCACCGCCTGCAACTCCGCCCGAGACACCCCCATCCACAACCTTGTTCGCTCCTATGATAAAATAACAGAGCGAACAGCAGCATTTAGAGGGGCGCCGTGGCAAGACGTGTGTGTGTGGGGGGGGGGGGGGT